GCTTTTGAGAATAATGCTCTTGTGTGTCGAGAGGTGTTGGATGGGGTAAATCTTGTGGATGTAGAGTTGGATATGATTGACATGTGGGTATAGTTGCATGATATGCCAAAGGGATACACGTCGCATGCAATTCTGGAACAGGCAGGGAATTTTTTGGGCTCTTTTGTTAAACATGATGACCGATTTGAAGGGGCGCCATGGCTAACGTTTCACCGTATTCGGGTGTCACTCTCGGTTGATAAGCCACTTAGAAGAAGGATGAGGTTGATGAAGAGAGATGGGACTACAGCATGGGTAAATTTTAGATATGAATGGCTGCATAAGTTTTGCTACTTTTGTGGTTGTATGGGTCACTTGCATACTTTCTGTATACACGCTAGGGAGGCTACAATTCCGGTGGAAAGGTACCTGTACAGCCCGGATATGCGAGCTGGTGGATCCCGGAGCGCTCCTAGAGCGGTTGGGGATAGCTGGCTTGTTCCGGTTGGCGGGAAACCACGACCACTGGGAGTCAAGCTACGTGTGACAGATGGGGGACAGGGAAGTGGGGGTGTCACACCCACGAGTATGTCTGAGGATGAGGTGGTGGTGGCTACGGCAAAGCGTCGTAGGCATGGGACAGAGGGGGGAGAAGATAGTGGAAACGATGAGGTAACAATTGCGGCTGTTTCAAAAAACTTGTCCATGGCGGGAGCTGGTGTTCAGCCCCGCCCATCATCATGAGTACTTTGAGCTGGAACTGTCGTGGCTTGGGCAATCCACGCACAGTTCGACAGATCGTGGGCCTAGCGTCCAGTAAGAAGCCGGATTTTGTGTTCTTGATGGAGACCAAGGTACCACGGATACATGCAGAACGGATCCGGGTTACGCTTGGGTATGAAGGTTTGTTTTATGTTGATAACGATGGTTTGAGTGGAGGAATGGCGCTTTTATGGAAGAAGAATAATACGGTGAGGCTTTTAACTTAATCGCAGAGTCATATTGATGTGGAAGTAAGCTTGTTTAATAAGTTATGGCGCATGACATGTATCTATGGTATCCCCGAGCGTGGTAGGCGGGAGGAGACATAGGATTTGCTTGGTACTCTGAAGACTAGATCCTTATTGCTCTGGGTGGTGATAGGAGATTTTAATAATCTGCTATATCAGCATGAGAAGAAGGGGGGAAATCCGTATCCTAACAGTCTGTTACGGGGTTTCGGAGATGCTGTGGATGACTGTGGTTTGATGCAAATGCCAATGAGAGGCCACCAGTTTACGTGGCAGAAGGGAAAGGGGACGCCGAATTGGATAGAGGAAAGGTTGGATAAGGCTTTAATAACGAATGATTGGGGTCTGCTCAATGAGAATGCATGGTTGGAGAATATTCGAACCCGGGCCTCGGACCACTCGATCCTTTTCCTCAGTATTAATGCGATCTGCATGCCGAGGGGAAGGGGGCCGCGGAGATTCAGGTTTGAAATGGCTTGGCTATTAGATGAGGGGTGCAAAGAGGTAGTAGAAACGGCCTGGCAGGAGGGGAAGACGGAGGGATTGCTGCATTGCCAGCAGTTGTGTGGAGAAAAATTAATGCGGTGGGGGGGGAGACCAGTTTCATAAATTCGGGAAACGAATTAACCAGCTACAGCAGAGGCAGGATGCCATACAGAATAGGCGAGATTTGGTAGCGCTAGCTGAGTACCAACAGATTGAGAATTCCCTGAAACGAATCGAGGCCCAGGAGGATGTGTTCTCGAGGCAGCGAGCTAAGCAGCACTGGCTACGCGGGGCTGATGCGAATACAAAATTTTATCACAGGTATGCCTCTGCACGTAGGAAAAAGAATTTTATTTCTAGTATTAAATGTAATGCTGGTAATTGGGTGGAGGGGGATGATATGCATGCAGCTATACAAAATTACTTTGACAATATTTTTGCCTCTAGTGGATTGAGTTGTGATGATCCACTTTTTGGCAATTTTTGGTTGTAGCAAAAATGAGATGTGGTGAGTGTACGGGTGTGTTATGTCGTCCTCGGGGGATTGGGGGATATGGCACGCAATACGCAATCACAAGAAACTAGGCACTAGCACTAGGCAATCAACAAGAAGCTAAGCAAACTACAAGTTTAAGGAAATGATAAGACTAACACATATACACAAAGATAAACACAAAATAAAGAAATAGGACTCAAGCTTGGGAGCATTATCATCTAGATGCTTTAACAACCTAAGGGATTAGGGAGAACAAGTAAGCAAGGAATCAAGCGGGAATGCACGTAGGTATCCTAGTCTATGAACCATTTTCGTGATTAATAAACAAGGATTAGAACAGGAAATTGCCCCACTTTCGTGGTGAATCAATTCCAAGTCCATCAAGCACAAAAGCATCTAAAGCCCCCAATTTCCCCTATTTTCGTAGGAAGAAATTGGGTCTATGCAAGGGGTGGCTTGGATTCATCACCCAACTCTCGTTGAGGCAAGGAATCCTCCAAAAACAAGCTAATGAATGTGTACATCAAACATTAACAAGATTTAAATACAAAACCTTCACAAACACATGAACCCTAGGTTGGAGTTCTTCCCCTTTTTGCAATAATCACAAATCAAGCATCAAGATAGATAATACAACCCTAACTCAAGTCCATAAACTAACTACTCATGATTAAATAGCATAAAGAACACAAAAGCATAAGTAACAAACATAAATCTTGCAAAATAAAGAGATAAAAGGAAGAAAAGCTTCTCTATTGAAAATGGATGGTGGAATCTTGAAATGTTGGAATCCAAGCTTCAAATCCAAGATTACAAGCTTCAAAAGTGTTAAGAAACATAAATCTAAGCCTATTCTAACCTAAAAATATGAAGGAGAATGAACGAGAGTGTCTAGGGTTCTAACAAGAGTCAAAACCAAGTAGAAATGACAAAAAATGGAGTTTATAAAAAGTTGCAGCAGAGGTGACACGGCCAGGGACATGGCCATGTCCCTGGCCGTGTCCAAAACAGCAGTAGCTACTGGAATGCACAGAAAATACACGGCCACAGACATGACCGTGCACTTGGCCGTGTCTTTTGTCCTTCAAAACGTCAGAGTTTGGAATTATGGTCTTCATGGAAGTTGTAGCCCTTCGAGTCTTCTTTCCAATGGCGCAAGAATCACTTCATTTGGACATTCCTAGGCCGAGATATGGTCCAAAAACCAAACGGTAGTCAGTTTTGGTTTGTCAGTTTGGAACTTCAACTTCAAGGACAATTTGGACCCCTGTGTCTTCCTTTTTAGACTTTGATGTACTTATAAGAATTGTAGACCTTTGAGTCTTCTTTCCAATGGAACAAGAATCACTTCATTTCAACACTCCTAGGCTGAGATATAGTCAAAATACCAAACAGTGGTCGAAATGAGCGAAAATTGCAATGCATTGATCTTTTGCTCCTCTTTTGTTTTGGTTTGCCCAAATGACCAACACCATTGAAAACACCACTCTTAGGCTCCTTTTGAAGTATTTTAGCCATCCTCTTAGCTTCTCCTTGGCTCCCATTGACTTCTAATGCATCCAAAACGCTCCATTTGACTCCAATGTCCACCAAAATGCCTGAAAATACTCAACTTTGCTTCCAATGCTTTTCAAACCAAACTCCTTGCAAAATAACACAATTTAGTCCTAATCTCATGAAATTTGGAAGAATATATGAGCAAAATGGCCTAGTGAAAGGGGAGAAAATATAGACAATTAAGCACTTATCAACCGCCCATTTGAAAATAATGAGGTTAAAGAGGCTCTCTTTGCAATGTATCCGGATAAGGCACCGGGTCCGGATGGTTTAAACCCGGGTTTTTACCAGCAGTTTTGGGAGATAGTGGGAGGAGATGTATCTGGCTTTATAACGAATGCTTTGAATTCCTGTGTATTCCCCGAGGGATTGAATGATACTAACATTGTTTTGATACCGAAGAAAGAGATGCCTGAGACAGTTGCAGATTTAAGGCCGATTGCGTTAAGTAATGTCATTTACAGAGTTATGGCCAAGATGATAGCAAATAGGATGAAAACACTAATGGGAGGATTAATATCAGAATCCCAGAGTGCTTTTATCCCGGGAAGGCTAATCACTGACAACATTCTAGTAGCAGCAGAGGTGGGGCATTATCTGAATAGAAAGCAGTGTGGTAGAGTGGGGTGGAGTGCTTTGAAGTTAGATATGTCAAAAGCCTATGACAGAATGGAGTGGAATTTTCTTGAAAAAATGCTGACTGTTATGGGTTTTAGTGAGAAGTGGATAAAGCTCATTATGCTGTGCGTAACGACTGTTAATTATACTGTAATGGTAAATGGTATAGCAGGGGGCATGTAAAACCAACCAGGGGACTCAGGCAGGGAGACCCTCTCTCCCCGTATTTATTTATTATTTGTGCAGAGGCTCTCTCAATGATATTACAGTATGAACAGTTGGCAGGCTCAATACATGGGTGCAGAGTTGCAAGGGGGGCGCCACCTGTATCGCACCTATTTTTTGCAGATGATAGTCTCCTATTTTTTAAAGAAAATATCCAGGAGACGGGAGTTATAAGGCAGTGCCTTGAAAGGTATGAGAAATTGTCAGGCCAGGTGGTGAATTATAATAAATCTAATATATGTTTTAGCAGAAATACCTAGGAGGCTGACAGGATGCAGATAGCGGATTGTCTGGGGGTGGTGCAAGCACCCAATTTTGGAAAATATTTGGGCCTACCTTCCTTTGTAGGGAGAAATAAGAGAGCTGTTTTTTCGTATGTGGAGGAAAAGATCAGGCAACGAATTGGCTCGTGGAGTAAAAAGTTACTTTCTCAGGCTGGTAAGGAAGTGTTATTGAAAAGTGTAGCGCAATCTATGCCTACCTATTCGATGAGTGTTTTCCTGTTACCTGAGACAGTTTGTCAGTCAATTGAGCGAACTATGAATAAATATTGGTGGGGGAATGGAAGAGAAAGGGGAATACATTGGAAGGCATGGGACAGGTTGTGCATACCAAAGAAGTATGGTGGTATGGGTTTTAAAGAACTAAGGGCTTTTAATCTAGCTATGCTGGGTAAACAGGCATGGCGTTTTTTAACGGACCCAGGATCACTTGTAGCTAAAGTTTATAAGGCAAGGTATTATCCCACGACCAGTTTTACAGATGCAACTATTGGTAATTGCCCAAGTTACTGCTGGAGAAGTATAATGGCAGCTCATGCAATGGTAGTCTCAGGGGTGCGAAGGAGAATTGGGAATGGGCAAACAACTTTAATATGGGGACATCCGTGGTTACGAGATAATCCTAGCCCATTGATTCAAACAGAAATGCCACAGCAATTGAGAGAAGCGCGAGTTGCAGGATTAATTGATTTACAGACTCATACCTGGGATCCACATATTTTGTTTGACTTATTTATTCCTGAAGATGTGGAGCGAATAAATATGATCCCTGTGAGTCCTGAGTATGAGGACTCATGGTATTGGATGAGTGACCCCAAGGGGATATATACAGTAAAAAATGCCTATAGGCATATTGTGGGTGATTATGAGAATAATCCAGCAGATTTTGATAAATGGGTTGCAATGTGGAAAATAAAAGTCCCCCAAGTGGAAAACTTTCTTGTGGAGAGCCATATGTGACATTTTGCCAACAACCCTAAACTTGATATTTAAAAGGGTGGAGGTGGAACCAACATGCCCAATGTGTGGTTTAGATCATGAAGATGTGATACATGCTTTAGTACTCTGTGAATATTCTAGACTTGTTTGGAATATAACACAATTGCCTGTTATTAATATTATTGCAGACTCTTTTACAACATGGCTAAAAGGGGCTATGGCGGTCTTAACAGAGGAGCAGACCCGGTTAATGGTAGCAATATTATATTATATTTGGAGAACTCGGAATTCAGCTGTCTGGAAGGGATCAATGATGCGACCTGCCCAATTAGCCAGAGCAGCCACTGTAGCACTACAGGCATACGGCGCTGCCCATGTCCGCCGAACCGAGCCGGCAACAGCATCGAAGCACTTAAACGGTTCAGGGGAGGGCAGTCTACGGTGTTATGTAGACGCGGGTTTCAGGCACGACACGGGCGAGGCTACGTACGACATGATAATAATAGCGCCAGATGGCTCTTTTGTGGCAGCAAGGAATGGCAAGTTACCGGTTTGTTTTTCACCACTTATGGCGGAGGCCCAGGCATACAAGGAAGCACTATCCTGGCTACTTGAACGAAGCAACACATCAGTAAGTTTACTCACGGATTGCATGGAATTGGCTACGATTATTCGACGCCATCACACGCCGATCCATTCGTACGTTGGGGTCACAATCGACCAGTGCAGAACGTTTATGTCTTTATTTAATCGTATTACTTTGGATTACATCTCTAGACAAGTTAATTTACATGCGCATACTTTAGCTACGTTAGCATTTACACAGGATCAAGTTATGTACTGGGATGCTATCCCACCTGACGCTATTTCGACTTTGATTCATTAATACAATCGCAAGATTGACCTTCAAAAAAAAAAAAAAATACTTAGAATTAAAACATGATGAATTTCATTACAACTCCAGTAAAATTAGTTTAGAAAGTACAGAAGTCAGAAGATAATAAATTTAATAAAACCTATAATATTAAAATATGTTTTTATAATGAATTCAAACTTTTACGACAATAACAAAAGATCGACTTATTTAGGTTTATTTATTTATTTATTTATTTATTTATGATTCAGGACCTCAACACATAAACAATATTGTTGAAAAGTAATGATTCGTTTAATTTGGAAAGCATTCCCAGTACATGTGATGTTGAAGGCGGGTAACCCATATGAGTTGATAGTTGAGAGGAATTGAAGTTAACATTGATGGTGTCATTAATATAATTACGTACTACACGTTCGAACTTTCAAACCATGCATGCTTCTTTTCAATATGAATTGAATCCATAATTTGAAGTGGGTGAAAGCCATCATCATTTGCCACTTCATAATAATAATGACATATAATGCTAGCTATAATTACTTCCATTATCGTGAATGTCATATTCCTATCCATGCAAGTTCTGAGTTCAGCCTTTGAAGGCTAGAAACTTGTGAGGTAGTCGGTGCTTCATGCCTTTGCTAGATGAATTATTTTTTAATTTATTTTTATTCGAAAATAATACAACGTCGGTTATTTATTAATATCTATCCGATGTGGTATGTTATTGTTCAAAAAAATTCAAATTGTTATGATGTTGGTTTTGAATTTAACCGACATCGTATCAATTTTTATTTTTTTAAAAAAAAATAGAGGAAATTTCAATTTTAATCCCTGACTTTTAAAAGTGTCAATTTAGTACCTTAACAATGCAATTTTTGTCAATTTTGTTCACTCCGGCCAAATTGCTGGCCAAATTTCGCTGGAAAATTTTAATAATTAAAATAATGAGGGTATTTTGATCGTTTCACGACTCTTTTCTTCTTCTCTGGCGAGTCCATCCCTTTCTCTCCCATTTACGGCGTTCTTTCTCCCTGTAAACCCTATCTTAATATCATCAAGCCTCCTTTCCCCATCATCTTAGTTCATTGCATTCGCTGGAAACGGGAGAGGAAGGGATGGACTCGCCTGGGAAGAAGAAAAGAGATGTGAAATGATCAAAATACCTTCAATATTTTAACAATTAAAATTTTTCGGCGGAATTTGGCCGGAGTGACCAAAATTGATAAAAATTACATAGTTAAGGTACTAAATTGACACTTTTAAAATTGAAATTTCCTCAAAACAATATTTACCATGTCAGTGTTTTAGCCACATGTAATATACACAATAAAAGCTGACAAAAATGTATATTATTTTTATTATTGGCTATTCAAAATATCCACAAGAGTAAAACTCAAGCTAATACTAAAATTTTAAAACAAACACATGTTTATGAAAATATACATAAGAAAATTAAAAATTTTTAATTTTTTAATTTTTTTGAGATTTTTAGGCAAGTCCCTTCCCCACACTTAATTATTTTCAACTTTGTGAAAAGAAAAAGAGAGCCTGCCATGGTTTAATTTTCTTTTGTGCAATTCTCATTTGACATGCAGTTTGTGAATAGAAAGAAAAAAAAAAAAAAAAAACTGTTTTATGATCAACACCATTCAGATTATTCTTCTTTTGAAGTTTATCGCACTCCAACTTATCTTTCTGTGCAAAATTCATAGATTTCAAATTTGAAAATTCACCAGTTTCTTCAACTAACGTCATGGTTATAAATTTGTCTTTTTAACATAAACCGGGATTGGAGGCACATATGGCTTGGGGGCACATAAGGATCATCATATTTATGCAACTGAGGCTCATCTTTATCAATACTAATAACATCATATCATCATCATTATTCAATTTTTAAGTTATTTCAGTTTGTTCAGGAGTGGTATTTACGTGGCACAAATTCTTGAGGTTGACTAGGTAACTTACATGTCACATGCCTTTGCAAAGCTTTAGCAATAGAATAATACATGACACAAAAGCGCATGTTATATTTAATTTATTTCAGGTACATAATTCATACGCTTAAGGTACAAAATTGTAAAACATGAGACATAAAACGCATAACACAAGACACACACACATGTTACAGTTTAAAAAAACTATAATTTGAATTGAACAACAAGCAGTCTCCATCAAAATTACCCATGCGATGCACGGATATTATTTTTTAATATATATTTAAAGAATAAAGTTAAAGGTTAAGTTATAAATAATTATATTATTTAGAAATGTATAATTTTATTCAATTTTTAAGTTATTTCAGTTTGTTCAGGAGTGGTATTTACGTGGCACAAATTCTTGAGGTTGACTAGGTAACTTACATGTCACATGCCTTTGCAAAGCTTTAGCAATAGAATAATACATGACACAAAAGCGCATGTTATATTTAATTTATTTCAGGTACATAATTCATACGCTTAAGGTACAAAATTGTAAAACATGAGACATAAAACGCATAACACAAGACACACACACATGTTACAGTTTAAAAAAACTATAATTTGAATTGAACAACAAGCAGTCTCCATCAAAATTACCCATGCGATGCACGGATATTATTTTTTAATATATATTTAAAGAATAAAGTTAAAGGTTAAGTTATAAATAATTATATTATTTAGAAATGTATAATTTTTTGGATTATAAAATAACTGTAAAAATATCAATAATATATGACTCGTTTGTTCGCAATTATTTTAGGAAAATCGATATGTGATAAGATTTATGTAATTATATTATTATTTAAATAAATATGTGAAAAAAGGGGAAACAATTTTAAAAAGATTAAGATGCGAAAAGAAAATTGGAGTCAAACTGTATTTTAAAGTTGTTTTAAATTACCTGATTTTTTTGGGTATACTTAAGGTTTTGTGAGAGGGAGTACAAATTGGGAGTAAGAAATGCGAGTGCATGTGGTATTTTCCTTAACATTATCATCATCATCATCATCATTTTTTCAAAGTGACTGTGTGAGTGTGCATGTGATTCAATGTTCGTCTGCAATCTGATTTAATGTAAGATTTATACTCCCCAACAAACTACTGCAAAATACATGTATTGTAACGAATTAGAGGGGTCCAAAGTCTGGTAAGGTTTTCTATTTTCTTTTATTTTTTCCACAAATCTATTAATGTATTATTCATTTATGTGCGACCGCAAAGCATGCAAAATATATAAGTATATCATCCGATTACTTTCTTTCTATGAGCTCCAAGCAACACGTGGAAGACTTGACTCTGATACCAAATTGAAGCATTTACTTCATCTCAACTAAAAACTTAAGCTGATAGTTAGATTGCACATTTATATTTATATATATTATATGCTCGACACTATTTAGGTCACTATTGCATCGACTATTGATCTTATTTATATTCACTTTGAATTAATTTTATGTAAAACGTCTAAAATATTAACAATAACAAAAGACTTATTTAAGTTTATTTATTTATGATTCAGGACCTCAAACACATAAACAATATTGTTGAAAAATGATTGGTTTAATTTGGAAACCATTCCCAATAATAATTGACATAATCATATATGGTATATATATATAATAATAATAATATTGTGTGGTTAGTACTAATATTAATTTTTTTTTATAAATTTGATCCCTTCAATCCCGACTTTCTGGTTCCCACTGAATACATGTGATGTTGAAGGAGGGTAACCCATATGAATTGATAGTTGAGGGGAAGTTAATATTGATTATTGATGGTGTCATCAATATAATTACGTACTACACATTGGAACTTTCAAACCATGCATGCTTCTTTTCAATATGAATTGAATCCATAATTTGATGATGACAACTTGCAACATCAAATCAGTATTTAATGAAATGCAGTACATTTTCTATCTACTATACTAATAAGAGCCCAAGAGAGTTAGACCTATAATGAGTAGAAAAAATGGCAATCAAAATTTTTAATCAAATGAATGGCTCAGATTGATCAGATTTTAATTTTTCTTTGAGATTTCCTAATTTATCCTTAATGAATATGATTATCTGTCAAAGATACAAGGGTAGCTTAGTCATGATAAACCACAAACAGGGACCATATTGTATTTTCATCCTTTCTTGTTTCTGTTATAACCGCCT